AGTCAAAAAAGCGCTAGAGCTTTGAATTTGATATTGGAAATCATATAGCAAACTGGGTTCGTAGGCGGATTTGAGAACTGTCCCAGAACCCCAGAATGCCCTATATATGATATAGGATATCTTATTTATCTGCTAAAAATTAAATTTGATCTTTTGTTTAAAGTTATCTACCTAAATATTTTATTATTTTATGATTATTTTGACAAGATTTTAATAAGTATTAATAAAGATTTCTTTATTTTAAATTCAAATAATAGTTTTGATATTTTAATAATTTAAGTAATTTATTAAATTTTTAATATATTTTTATCAAATTTTAGCATTTTGATATTTTGGTAAGTGAAAAAATCCTCAAGCAATTGCACTATTTACACTTCAGATTTAACAATGGTTTTTAAACTATTTTTTAATATTATTATAATATTAGTATTGATTTTAATATAAATGTAATTATATTATATAAGATATTTATATGAAATAATAAAATAAATACTATAAGCTAATTTGTATTAAATTTTAAATTTTAAAATAGCAAAATATATTGTTAGATGGTTTACAGATTAATATATTATTAATATAATTATCATGTAATCTATATAAATACTAGAAAAATCGTTATTAAATATGGAGAAATGGACCAATCACGTATCGACTCAATTTTTGTAACATTGGCGATAAAACCGATTATTTTTATTATATAAATTATCATTGAGGTTAGTTGCTTTTAAAAATTTATATCAATTAAATATTTAATTAATACTTTCTTCTTATTCAAAATAATTAAACCAATTCCATTTTTGGACCAGATTGATTATCATTCCATTTGTAAAAATTTAAGAGCAGATGGATGAAACCGGATAGTCAGTTCCCATATATTAGTAATTTTTTTGGGGATGAAATCGTTAAATGATTTTTATTTTTCCACATTTCTATTTCAAAAAACCCATATATGGAGGTATATTTCTCAAATTGAAAAGGTATGAAGTACTTTCTTTCAAAACTTAATTAATATAATCCAATACAAAAGAGTTTCGGAGATTCGGAGTTTTTTTCCCATTTAGAGAAGGATTATTTGAAGAAGCTTTAATCTCATAAAATGACGATCGTGATAGATAAGTCTAGCGCTAGCTTTAAATCGGCAAAAAAGAAATTTTTCATTTAGACGACAACACTTCACGTGATGGCTCGCGATTAATTTCACGTGATATCACGTGATTTTCAATGATAAATTTTAAAACGCGCTCCAAGATCTTTCCTTTTATAAGAACGCGAGATTCGTCATGTCTGAAATTAGCGAGAGAGGCTCACCAAGGTATTTATTCAAAATTCCTTATAAAAATTTCTATTCATATAGAACTTACTAACGTAAAAAATAGTTCGAAGCGTGTCAGATTTCTTGATGATTCGTCAAATTTTATCGACCCTTTTAACAACCCTTTTTTAGAAGATTCTGAGAATTCGGGTATAGAAAAGTTGAAAAAAGATCGTACGTAATTACTTATACTAAATTTAAAAAATGCAACCTTTAATACATTGCAACCTTTTTATTTATTTATCTAATTAATATAGTTCAAAGACTGGAAAGAGAACGTGACGAAAAGAAATTAATTTTTGATAATTTGAAAAAATCTCGTAGTTTGCGCGATATCATTGATAAAGAAAATGTTGATGAAAACGTGACAATGACTCAGGATGAATTTCAAGAGCATGTAAAATATTATTTTTAAATACCGATCGTTAAATGTGACCACGCGAGAGAGTTCATTTTATTTTTTTTTTTTATTAGATGATTCAAGATATGATACAAACTAGCAAGGAACGCGAATATGAAGAAATTTTGAATGCTTATCGATTATCTGGCATAACAATCTTCTCGGTGAAAGGAAATCGTACTGGAATCAGATTCGAGACGTTCTATAGAGGTTATTAATTCATAGATTTAACAATTTGTTCCCAATAAATCTCGTTATTAAGCGCGATCAATTTTTCTCTAGCCAAGTACCGTGAACCTTATTATATCATTTTGGAACAAAGTCAGGACGACCAATTAAGCGTTTTCAGACATACTATACCACATTTCATTCCCATAAACGAGCTGGAAGCTACTTATATGAATAAGGATTTGAGAGTAAATGTTCATTTGTGAAAAAATATTTTTGAATTCATTACACGACCTTCTCATCACATATGATGCTTTAATAGAAATTTGCGAATATAATTGGTGATTACTTACAATCGTTCGTGACTAGACGTGAAGAATTAAACACTTTATTGGAAAGTGGAAAAGCCACAGAGCCCAAAGCTAACCACGCTTATAGCGTTATTGAATTCACGATTCCTTTAAAGGATAGGTTAGAAGAAAAAAATTTATTTCTTTTTTACAATAATCATAAATCTCACCCATTTTTTTTTTCAGTACAACTCTTGTGGAGGTTAACTTAACGTACGATGACTTGAAATCCCCTCATCCTACAAATGCTGTAATATATCTGACTAAAGAAGGTAAGCATGATGACCCAATGTGAAAAAAACAATCGTCATTAATTTTCAATACTTATACAGATCCCGAGAGTTCCGAGAAGCGGCGTCAAAGATTACAAAGACGTGAACAGGAATTTTTAGCACGAAATTTAGTGGAAGCATTCGACAATGTCTTTGGGGAGGCCGAGGAGATCGAAATGTAATAAAGTGAAAACAAAGATTCGATGGAAGATGAAGAAATTTCACACCAGTCAAATGTTAACATGCACTTATTCATAACAAAATACATACACTTCAAATATTTTTTAATACACTTAAAAAAGATGATTATTATATATAGTTCGAGACAAAAATATATCAAATATTTTATTTAGTTTTTAAATATTATATTTTTTTTTCAGTACTTGATTTTTGTTATCTAAATTAATTACATTAAAGTGAAATTATCCACTAACGAGTTCTATTTTATATATAAAGTATGGTTGGTGAAGGCCGTTGTTTTTAAATTCCCAAGTAGTATAGGATTATTTGCTTAATGAAAAGGTGCTTAAATATATTAGGTATGAAATTTTTAATTTTTTATTGCTTAAAATGGAGGGAAGGTACACTATGTAGTTGACGAATGATAGATTGGGAATATAAATTTTTTTTTTAAAAAAAGGAAGTTCTATTAAAACTGTACAAAAGATTAATTGAAAAAAAAAAGTATATTACAAAGAAAAAAAAATTGAATGCAAAAAAATGGTTATCTAAAACATTTAAACAATTGTCCAAAGCCGTACGTGACCCAACTCTTCTTGTCGTTCGCATAAATAATTATTACGAAGAAATAAAAATAAAAATAATAATAACGAATTTAAAATGATAAACTATATCGATTTTTTGATGATGTATTTGTTGTTTTTAATAATTTTCTATATTTTTCTTTTAATTTCAACCCACTAAATCTTCTCATATGTTTGTTACTTTTAGATTTGTTATTGATGTTTGTTGAGGAAGTTTTACTTCCTAACACAGAGGAATGATCGGAATCTTCTTGACAACTTTCACTTTCGCTTGACATTCTTAATTCTACGTTACCAGCTTCAATCAAAAATTGAGTGAAACTTGATGATTCCATTAATTCGTAAATTTGATCTTTGACTTGATCGAATATTGAGGGATGATAATTATTATATTGAAATACGTTTGTTAATAAATAATCTCTAGTTTCGGCGGGTATATTTACTTCTTTAGGTGAATTTGGTATGATGAAAGAGGTTATTAATTCATGTAATTTTTGTTTGAGAAAGTCGAGATGAGCGGGTGCATCACCACGTAGCGATGCATCATCATCATAATAAGTTAAGGCTGGGTCAACGACGCTTAATAGAGAAGGGGACTCAAAAAAAGAGTCGGATTCAACGATATTTGACATAGGTGAAGAGGAGTAATTGTAAAAATTACAAGCGTAATAAGTATATCTTCGTACAGCCAAATAGAATTCTAAATTCTCTAGACAATAAGTTTGATCGAGGAAAGTAGCGAAGTCATCGAGTGAATAAGGATAAGAAGTTTCATTGTTTAAGATGTCGCCTAACGTTGGTTTTCTGGTTGTAATCGGAATCATTTTATAATTTGTCGTAAAAATAAATAAGAAAGTTTGATGATAGTTTTAATTTATTTTATGAAATCCACGTAAAAAAACGAGATTATATATATGTTTTTTAATTTTTTTTTTTTTTTAAATTAAACAACTTATTTTCTCAAAAAAAAAGAAAATTTTTTTAAAAAATGTGTGGATGAATGGTAAATGCGTGTAGAAATTGCGGGGTTTATATAGGATACAAGTTTAGTTCCTGATTTTGAACTAGCTAAAAAGAAAAAAAGTTTTTTTTAGGGGGTTGAGATGAATAATAGCAGTATATTAGTAAATTGGAATATATTGGAATAAATTGTAAACTAATAAATGATTGGTACACAAAAAAAAAACAATCTAAATATTTTTTTTATGTTTATAGATTAGTGTTCGAAAAAAGTATCAGTTGATATATATATGATTGTTGTTAGTTCCTTTGTTGATTGTAGTTTGTTACATCACTCATACATCACCCCACTTAGTATGTTGTAACAAAGAAAAAAAAATTTTTTTAGCACATACATATCAATGGAAGATCATTTTTGTGATTAACCGAGTGAGGATTAGTTCCAGGCGTTAGAATATTGTGGATATAAAATTTGTAGAAAGATAAATTTTCACACACACAACTTAATGGTAGTAAAAGTGATGAGTGTGACCTGGGAAACTTTCCATTTTTGGGGGAAAAAAATTTTGTAAATGGCAATGATTTGATCGACTGGTGAGGTTCATCCAAAATGTTGTGACCGTCACACCAACCAAATATTGAGTCGCACCAAGAGGCGGAATTACGTAGGCTGAATTAGCTGAATTCGGAATTATCGGTATAAACCATCACCTCTTAATCGCCACACGTTTTTTATAATGAACAAATAAATTGATTATAATGGGAGGGGGCACAATACAATCATTCAATATTTGAAAAATATTTACCTCATTTAAACTTGATTTGTTATATTAATAAAATGTGGCAATTAGCGTGGTTCGTTCATTTCCATCATCTAGTGGTCCAAATTCCTTTACGAAATCAGGTAAAGGTAAATAACAAAAAAGGTTTACATTGTTCTACTTTTCATGATTTTCGAGATCAAAGTAATTCATATATATTATTTTTTGCAAAGTGAAAAAAAAATGTTGGAAGAAGTGTCACGAGAAAAGATGAACATTTTTTTTTATTATTGTGTAAGAACACAAAAACTGTATTACCGTTTACCGTACTATATAAACTTCTTTATCTGATATGTACATGAATTTTTTTATGTGAAAAAAAATTTTTTTATTAAGAATAATGATCATTATTTATTATATTCTTATTAAAATATGAAGGTGATCTATTTACACCACAGTAAAACCACATTACCTTCTCCCCCCATCTCTAAATAGAAGGTAGGCAAGGGAAAAAAAAGCCTTAAATGCATTAAGGTGTAAACAAATATGCAAAGGATTAAGTCAGCAAGCGAAGTAAACAGAAATTAATGTGGGGTAAAATTTGTTATTTTTTTTTTGCGCTAATTTTGGTACGTTGTGAAATTGTAAATATCATGACACACTTTCTTTGGATTGTTTTTCATGATGTGAGCGCAAAAAGTAATTATATAATGATGGAAATATGGGAAATTGTGGAGTTTTGAAGCACAGGTCACCTTTAGTAATTTCGTGTGGAATCAATAAAGTAACTTGAATTGGTAATAGTGTCAAATATTTTTTTTCATGATTCCCAAAACAAAAAAAAAAAATAGATGATAATTTGTCAAAAAAAATAAGATGTCTTTTTGATCTTTGATTTTTATAAACTAGATGTGTTGATTTTTTTATTTATTTTTCTTTGAGATCATTACATTGTGCGTGTTTCGAGATGTTCGCGAAATTCGAGAGTTACAACAATATATTATATGAATGCTATTCACCAAGTGAGAAGGTAATAATAATGTAGATGAATCAGTTGGGATGCATGGTTTTTTTTTTCTTAACAATTGACCACCTGCAATAATTTGAGTATTCATCATAAACAACAAGATATCTTTAGAAATGATTTCTCAACTCTTTTTTTTTTTTACAATCCTCACTAAACGTGCATGTGTATATATACATATATACTCATTAATTAAAATATAAAAAGCTCCTTTATAAAATAAAAATATTTCTCCAAAAATGTGTGTAAGATTTTTTTCTTTTACCCCACAAAAAAGAGATGCCACACAGGGTAATACAAAGACAAGGGTGCATTCGGTTTATTGTTTTAAGATATACAATTACGTACTGATTTAAAGAAAAAAGAAAAAAAGATTATTATTTTTTTTTTTTCTCATATAAATATTCAAGTTGCTCATCTATTTACCAAATAAATGATAAATAATTAAGCAAGCCAAAAAAAAAAAACGATTTTCATTTCCATGGATTTCCACCCTATTATTATACCATACAAAAAAAAAGAAAAAAAGAATAATCATAAAAAAACCTGTTTATCTGAACAACTAAATATATTCACGCTTTACCATATATGGGAATAATTTTATTCTTTTTTGGTTTCATGTACTTTCATGTATTTCACAAGATGTTCTAAATATAATAAGATCTTTTTTACTGCGTTCTCCTACTTTTTCATGAACTGGATTATGAGAGTGCACAGTTCAACTATTTTACTCGGTTTGGAAAACTTCCCAAATTTGGTAGAAACTTTTATGGGGAAAATTTTTGTTTGTGTATCGTGAATTAATGAAAAAAAAAACTCTGACCCGAGAATGAATTGAATGGAGATTTTTATAACATGTTTGATGTTTTTTGGTCAATGCACCGTTTGTTTTGGTTTTAAGGAGTACTTTCAATTTTTTTTTTTATGCACGAAAAAGAAAAAAAAAAGGGTTCAAGGGATAATTGAAAAGCAAGTTTTTAATATAAAAAAAATTTAAAATGAAAAAACATTCTACAATTTACAAAAAGTGAAACCGAATTGAAAATTTGTTTACAACATAATATTCGGAAGAAAGTGACAAGAGAAAAAAAAAGGGTTCAAGGGATGATTGAAAGCAAACAGAAAATTAAATGAAATAAACATTTTACATCATTATAGTTTGGGAAGATGGGCAGAAAAGAAAAAAAAAGGGTTTAAGGGATAATTGAAAAATAGGTATTTATTTATTTAGTTAAAAAAAAAAAGTATTAAATGAAAGAAATTTCTATAATCGCGGTTACATCATAATAGTTTAAAAAGATATCACTTCAAGACGATTAGGTTTAGCGCGCAAAAGGGAGAAATATCATCAGGAATAATAATTAATGTTAAAAATTGAAGGTTTATATTTGTAGGTTTATATTTTGTAAATATACACAAACCATTGAAAACTACGCGACGAATAAGACGTTTCAAAATGATATGAAACGTCAAAGTTCTTCATCTTTAACTTTAAATCAACCAGAAAAAGATTCACGACACGCGATTCGACATTGTCAATAAACAGATTACATCATATAACACCTTCACATTCTTCATCCCTACAATTGTTTGAGAGGAAGACCAACTAAATGATTTGTTTACTTTGGTTCCAAATCTCTTTCTTCTCACCCCACTGGAAATGTTTCCTTATTAGTGATAAAGTTTGCCAACATAATATATTTTTTTCATTTAACACCTTATTTAGATCATTTAAATTAATTTACCAATTAATATTTATTTATTTATTTATCTTGTGTAATGGCTAAAGCGGCCTTTTATTGAAAGGGTATTCAAAGAATGTTATTTCCCCAGTATTTGCCCATCTTAAAATGGAAATAGATGAAGGAAAAAAAAAAAGATTATTTGTGTAAAAAAACAAATAACTCGGGTAACGGGTATGTATGTACTGTACATGATGATTTGTAGAATAATTACATCGATTGTTTCATACAAAAGGATCTAATCTATTCTCAAACATGGCACGTAATAAAAGGAATACATATAATGAACAATCTAAAATTAAAATAATCATCAAAATTAATAAAATCTATAAAATTCGGCGAAAAAAGTCACATATATCGGATCAGTGCTAGAAAAAAAAGAGAGGCAAAATCATGTTAAACAATGCGTAGTACATGCCGCATTTTAGGGCAGACACGTGTACAGAATGGGCGAACAAGCGGTAAAGATCGTACCATTTAAACCATACCGACTGTCCCAGCAAAAACTTTTTACCGTTTTAAAAAATAATCGGGTGTAATATTTTAAAATAGTCTAGTGATAATCGGGCTAAGCAATCAAATTTTTCTAAATGAACTAAATGCAACCAACGATATGTGCGTTATATGGTGAAATATTCACGCCTTTATACATTTTAAATTTAGGTGTGTGAATAATTTTTTTGTAACAGCTGTTATAGCGGGATTTTCGAAAAAGATCGATTTGCGGTTTTTGAGGATCTTTGTAAAAAAAAAGGTAATCTAATGCGCTTATAAACCAAGTTTCTTTATGAATTTTTTTTTTTGTGTTTTCAAAGCAAATGTTTAATGTCAAAGCATTCGTAAATCATGGAAAATCTTTCTTTTTTTCATATATTCATTGAATTAAAAAAAAATCTACATGTTTTCCATTAAAAGCAATTCATCCATCTTCCATTAAAAGAAGTGACGATGAAAAAAAAAAGGATATGCCAAGCAAAAAAATTTGAAAGCGAAAGGTTCATCTAGCGGACGGTCTTGTATATCAAATGAACATTGCATTGGATCTGTCCTCTAATATGTCTTTTACAAAACTTGTCACATAATTACATAAAAAAAAAGAGCATCTTGGATCTTTTCTTGAAAGATTTTTATTTATTAAAACCCTCGGAATAAGTTGTTCATGAATATCGGAAAAAGTAATAGCATATGAAGTTAAAAAATTCGGTGTAGTTATAAAGAAATTAATTAGTCCATTTAATCATGATATTTATCCTTCAAGTTTTGATACAAAAAGAAATATGTGCTAAGCTAAAAATAGTCAAAAATGTTGGCTATAAACTTTGAACACCATATTACAT